TTTAAATTGTTTTTCAGGCCCGCTGTATATAGTTCATAACACAGGACATTATATAAATATATATATACCTTTTAATCTTGAGCCCAGGTGATGACACAAACACGACTAGACTTTACTAATTGTTTCGCTAATTATTATTTATTATTCTAGCTTTATTCTTCACAACTTTATTGATTTAAAGTATGTGCTAGTTATAATAGGCTAATTGTGATGTGTCCTCTAAGTGCTTAACTTATTCAGGATTTTTTTAAAACGGAAAAAAAAATCAAAAAAACAAAAAAAAAAAAACAAAGCAAGAACAGTCGTCTACTTTATATGTGGAAATATGTCTATATATCTATTTCCTTTAGTCTCTTTTGAGAGGATTTCTTGGGAGGGGAATTAGATTCTGTCCAATCTGTTTAATCCCTGTCGGTAACGATTGCTAATTTCCTAAAAGCTCTACAGGATAATTTTATACTAAGCTTTGTTGAGGTTAATCTTATTAATATCTTTATAGGATAAGTTAAATAACCAGTATTTTAATTGGGGTGTCAAATTTTCAATTTCCTCAAAGTGATACTTACCATACAATGGGAATCTACACGGTGTATCAATATAGCTGCCATGCTTTTGAATGGCAAACCAAGTTCTTCCATCTTGTAATATTTGCTCTTCAGATACATTGAACATAGTTAATTTGATTATAACATACTGACTTTGGTTCGTTTGTGAGATGTTATATCGACTTTGATTGAAGGTTTTACATATCCCTAAACGTTGGCATTGTCCTAACGGGCCTTGCTTTGAGCGTATTGAAATAGTACTTTTATATTCTGATGACACTCTAAAAGTTATGACGTGTTGTGAGTTCTTCTCAGCTGGTTCGCATGATGAGACATCTGAAGTAAATCCCATTATTAGGAAGTAATGCATGACATAGTAAAGTACGTTTTATTTAATCAACGCAATAACGAATGACAAAATATAAGGAATTGTTTTTCTTAAATTTGAACATCGAATTCAGAAGTTTTTCTTTTTTTTCCCTTTTTTTTTTTTTTTTTTTTTTTTTTTTTTTTTTTTTTTTTTAAAAAAAGGGGATTTTTTTTTTAATTTTTTTTTTGTTTTTTTTTTTTTTTTTTTTTTTTTTCTTTTTTTTTTTTTTTTTTTCTTTTTTTTTCTTTCTTTTTAAAAAAAGGGGGTGGAAGCGGAAACCTCAAACTTCTCTCATCGACTTCCGCTGCTGCCCTTTTGCGTTAATGTAGCGTTTAAATTCAGAACTGCTTTCTATGAAATGTAATGTAATGGAACGTATTAAAAATAAAAGTATTTTTAAATATTTTTTTTTCCATGTTCAAAATTAAAGATTAATTGTAAATGTTTATAGATAATCTTAAGATAAAAGTATACAAATTTAACAATTGAAAAATTGCAATTAATTCTATTATTGATGTTATTTTATAAATGAGTGCAAATATTTAGACGTAGACGATGTTGCAAAGTGTAGAAGTCAGTGCTTGTCTATGAAACCACTTGTAGCTCCACATTCTCTGTTCAGTTACCTAACCTTTCGCACATATTTTATTTGGCCTTTAGGTTGGGAGATCCCAAGTTCGGAAATTAGAACTGACGATTCGGACAATGTAATTACAGGTTAGCCTTTTCAAGCTCTATCTACATTGGTTACAAAACATTTTTTAGCTAAGATTCCTAATGCCGTGAGTCACTCAAAATGAAGAACTATTTTCCTGAGTTAGATTAGTAGCTTTCGTCTTATTAAAATTATGTTGAACATAAGTTAATGCACATTATTTATATTTAAACTTTAAATTTTTATTTCAAATAAAAGCAAAAGATTAAAAAAAGACATTAGTGTTCGTCTGTAAAGATATGGTTTGGCAATAATTTTACTTTAGATATCAATGGAACCACCAAAATGAAACCCCAAGGTAAACAAATACAAATCGGAATATGCTTACAATTTAAAACTATTATGATTAAATACGTTTATTTATAAGTTTGTGTGTAACTTACCACATACTATGCACTGAATACATGAGGTAAACAAATACAAATCGGAATATGCTTACAATTTAAAACCATTATGATTACATACGTTTATTTATAAGTTTGTGTGTAACTTACCACATACTATGCACTGAATACACGAGGTAAACAAAAACAAAATTGCTTTTACATTCATTCTATAAATTCTTTATGTAACTTTCATGGTATTTATATTTTATAAAACACATCTAACTTAGCAGGTTATAAAATTTCCTCCTCAGTAAATTTCAGTTTTACATTTAATGAAGTCGCTCACATATTTTGACCAAGAAATCCTTTTTGCTTCTCAAACAAGAGTTTAAAGATTATTTAAATTGTGGGAATTCCTAAACATATTTTAAATTTTAGTTTTGACCTACTTATCTAATGTGAGTGAGTCACAGTGCATGTTTGAATGTGAGTAGATTTTAAGGATACAAATTGACTACTTCTATGCTTCGCTCTCATTTCCCTTACACATCCTTTCTTTCTCTACGTCTCTCTCTCCCTCCCCACTCTTTCTGCCTCACATTCGCTGTTTAATATCCACTTGGTCCCCTCTCTCTCCCTTTCATTTTCTAACGTTATCGCTCTCTTATGTTATATACATACATTTTGCCTACATAAATTTCTCTATTACAAAATGTGTATATAATGCTTTTATCCCTAGTTCATCTACTAGTCTACAATTTTACCCATGAGGCTCTAAAAAATCCATAGAAATCAGAAGGTTAATTTGTAATCAATATTACCAGACATCATAATTTGTTTTTCAAAGTACTGACACTTAATACATTGAAATTAAAATTAACAAATGACCACATGATTAACAATATAAAGTTATAGATCAAATAGAATGTTAATTACATTTGTGTACAATACATAGATAATTAAGCACACACACACACACATACACTTATGAATTCAAAAATTTAAGTGTATTTTAAAGTTCTTTTTTTTTTTTTTAATTACTTAAAACTTGTTTAAAGGCGCACACGTACAAGGAAGTAAAAAACAACTGTCAAGTTTTCATTTCCTCTGACAAATTTGCTACAACTTTAATTTTTTTATCTAAAATACACTAATGAAAATAATTCTGAAAAAAAATATTTTGTTCAAAATTTGGTTCTTTGATGCATTATAACGAAAATATAACATTACAATAGAAAATGATATTACTAAGTATTTTGGTTTCTCTTGGCCCTGGATTTCATTCTCCTTGAATTAAAGTAATTATCTTTTCTGGATCAAAATTATTCCATGAATAAATTGAATTAAATTAAAATTATGTTATAAAGTGAATTAATTAATTTGAAAAAGAGAGTTTTTAGCATTGTTTAACCTTTATAATCATATGTTTTTTTAAGAGGTAGGTCACTGGCTACATGTGCAGTAGCTTCTATATCCTTTCCAGACCTAGTAATACAAACATAATTAACGCTATCCATTTTAATATTAAGAAAACGTCTTATAATATGACAACCACAAACAAAATAACAAACAAAAAATATAGAAAAATATAGGCCTACAGCAAAAGTTAGTGACAAATTAAATGGATTTGTTTCGAATTTCTCTCTCTATATATATTAGACTGCAGCTATCCGGATCCGAAATTCAAGAGTGAGAGTTTGGGTTTATAAAAATTATTATTGTTGGGTTTGTAAGACAAAATATAGTATCAAATGAAAGATAAGTGAATGGCTTAAATGCACGTAAACTTACTTCTTCACTTTAACCAAAATAAACTACCACAAATGACGTCCGAATTGCATTTAGTCTAAAGGGACCCGGATACGAATAGCCACTATTAAGGATATATCATTGGTCAGTAAAAAATATTTGTTGAACTATAATGTGTTTGGAATTGAAGAAGCTTTTTTTGAGCATAAACGTAGCTGATTAACTTTAAAAGAAAAAGTCAAATCTACTACAGAATTGAGTTTTACAGTATGTAACAAATTGTGGTCATTGAAACATTGCTATACTGATACTCATAAATACACCCACCCTCTTATCACATTCATTTTTTACTGGAGTTTGTGAACTAACCGGTCATCAAGGAAAATCTATATTTTATTCTTGATTTATTTAAAAATTAATGATCATTCACAACTTTTGTTCAATATAATTCTAAGAATTAGATAAAAATAGTTTGTCTCAAATTTTATAACCAGCATAAACCTTCGTACATCATCATATGCACTTGTTATGCTGAAACACAGACTGATACTTAAAGTTGAACAGGGTGAATGGTTGGACCGAAATATGTACAAATTCATTTTTCCCCAAAAATGTCAGGATTTATTGATGATATCTGATGGCTGAGATTCTCTGGATTTTTTTTTTTTTTTTTTTTTTTTTGACGTTTTGTTTACGTGACAATTTTCCTGCGACTTTTTTTCCTATCAACATTTGTGAGTTTCTTCCGTAATTTTTTTCCCTGTTATTTTGTTTCCGCTCACCCATTAGATCTGGTCAACAAATAAGTATACTGTTATAATAATTTTTTCCTGTAATTTATTTTTTTCTCTAACAAATTCGGATGTCATTTGTGGTAGTTTATTTGTGTTAAAATCACAACTTAAGAATGAAGTTTACAAACATATAATTCATTCAATTATCGTTCTTCTTCTTCTTTTTCTATATCTTAAGGGCCAACGATCAATTTATTGATCATTTTGGCTCCTATGCATGTTCATGTATCATGTAGATGGGATTTGCAATGTTTCTGTTACTGGTGTTGATTGGTCTTTCATTGGATACCTCATTTTGTTTTTCAAACCCAGCTATTAAATTTTTAATAATTTTTTTAAATCCCAAACTCTGACTTCTGGTACCCGGGTACGAATAGCCACTTTGATAAATCAAAAGAATTACGATCATAATTCAATTATATAATTAAATGATTCGGGAAAGTTTTTTTAGGGAATTCCAATTATCAAAATAGTTAACCGGGAATTTTTCTATCGGGATTTCCCACAATTATTTAACATATTATGAGTCTCATTGATTTGTAAAAGTAATAAACAACCAATTAACTCATTAAAAGATCATGTTTGCTTAAAATAGAATATTTGAAATGCACTTTATACATTTACTACAACAGAGGAAAGTTAAAAGATGCAGGCTTCAAGAGAATGCAACATGCAATGGCCGTATTTAAGGTAAGACCAGTGTAACAGTAACTGTCTTTGCATGAGCAGCGGCATAAGTATAATTATAATTTAATAATATTTTTTCTAAAAACAGAAACAACACTTCATAATAAATCGTTTTTAACAATATTTTTAATATAATATAAACAATCATTTATTTCAAAGCGTTTTAAAAATGAAATTGCGGTATGCACCAGCAAACATGACGAAAATTAATACAATTTGAAAATATATTTTTTCCCATTAAAACAATACACCTATCGACATTAAATGTTGGTAGAATTCAATAAAGAAGTCTGTTAACTGACGAATATAATCATTAACGATACGTTTAGTTAGATATCATTAACCAGTCTACATAAGTCATTTCCAAACTTTTCATGATCGGGAGACACTTTTTTAGACATGCATCACCTTGTGATACATTATGTTATTTCTGACAGTAGGCCGTTTGTAAAATGATTTATTATGACACACGAGCCAGTGAAAAAAATTAATGTGTAAATATAGTAGGCCCTAACGTATAAAGACGCAAAAAACCTCACGTAAAGATTGGATTTACATTGTGGGTGGAAAGGCGAAACACAATTCGAAAAGATAAATCAAACTATCCTTGCATCATTTGACAAGATTAAAAAATTTGTTATTTCAGGTAATCAGGTAATTCTTCTTCTTTAATAAAAAAAAAAAATCAATTAGTTATTACCTGCTTGAAAGAAAAGAAATGCTGATCCAAAAATATCTTTGGACTTAAGTACAATGGAAGTAAGAAGTGCCCGTGGAACGTTGTTGAAAGGCTCACAATTAGTGAACAATTATCACATTTTATCTCGCACTCCGCTGTTTTGTAATACTTTTCAAATTTGATTCTTTCACTTTTCATGTCCAAATCAACATTTCGTCTACAAATATCATAGCACAACTTGAAGTACCTCTGTTCAATTCTCATTATCGTTGTATTTACTTTAAATATTTCAATTGCAGACACATAGGTTAAAACAGATATTCTGGAAAGTAAAAAGTGTGCAGCATGCTGGCAGCCCTTAATGAAAGGTGACCTCATTGGTTACGTTTGATAAAAAGAATGGAGACGGGCTGTGTTCTGAAGGACCTGATGTACTTATAATGATAAAGGGTGCAAGACTTATAAGACAGCCACCGTTATGTTATCATAACGTGTGCAAAAGAAGTCTAGTAACATTGAAATGCGCAATAAGTAAGAGAGTATCGCTGATCCCTTTTTTCTGCTAGCCAACATCCGCTACTGTAGGAATCTGACAGGCAGAAGCTGCTCATTACAAATCCTTGTAATAAAAAACGCATTTGGAACAAAACGAACAAAGCAAGTAATGTACAAATAAAATTAAACATGTATTTTGTTCAGAGGTAATAATCGAACTGTACGACTTCATTAAAGTAGGGAAAACTGATTTAAATACTCAAGGGACACATTAATATGCTTTTATATTTAAATTGAAAATAAATTGATTGACTTTAAATTTAGATGCTTGTCACGTCTTTGGACAATTAAATTAATTGTCATACATCCGTTTTACAAAAATTGATTAAGATGCTAATATCATGAAATTTATATATTTTTCTTACAGTTTAGAGTACATACAGTTTCATTATAATATCGTTATGGAGAAGTGTCATGTCTTGTGGATTAGTTTACTTATTGCAAATATGTTTGGTAAGTTTTAATTTTCCTTTTTTTATTCTCTTTAGTGTGATTAGGAACCTAAAAAATATGTCTTCGTATAACAATAAAATAGAGAAACTTCACCAACATCTCTTTGAATGCAAATAGAAAAAAGGGGACATCCAAATAAATGAATGAGGAAAAAATTACATTTTAAATATACATATCAGCTGGTATATTCTGATTGATTGAGTAAATGCAATCTATTTCATTCGGTATTAACTTTGAGGTAAACAATTCACATGGATCAAGCTGTTCCTTTGTATCTATGATGAAAAAATATCCTTTATTCTCAATTTAATTTTAGTGTAAGATGAATATTGTTTTAAAAATTTCTTCAAGCGAGAGTAGTCTTTACGTATGTGCTTTTAATAGCTTATTTAACAAGTCTTTTTATCCGTTTTGTTGACAAAAGATGAGCTACCGCGATAAAAATCATATAACTGTATACTTTAGTAAGTTCAATTTAAAAATGAAGTATTCGTGTATTCCAGCCCTTTTAAAAACTTTTCACGTTATTTTAATGTTTAATGAATGAAAATATTAGAAAATATAAAATGTTACCTTCTTAGTGCGGTCCTCGTCATTCAATAGAATACCTGAAGAATATGAAAAATAACTATCATAACTTTTCTCTGTATTTTTTAAAAATGTACCGCATTAGTTTGAATTATTTAATAAAAGTTTTTTAAATAATGCAGTTTTTAACGTTTCACATTTCTCTATTTAACTTTTTTTTTTTTTTGACACATGCATTTTATTAAGAAATATTTAGTCCAGTAGACTTTTCTGTTTGCAGCTGATATGAGTGAGATTTTGTTTCCAATGTAATGCCTTCTGATGATGACAATGAAAGCTAAGAATGCATCCACAGCATTGCTGGTGTCTCCAAAACGTCTTCAGTATATACTACCTTTCATTATTATTTGACCGACAGTGAGATGTGGGGGGAGCATCATGAGTGAGGAAGACTTGAATGATATTGTTTGGTCAATTTTAGAATCCACTAAGACAATTTTTACAGCATATGTAATACCTGCCGATTTTTTTTTACTACTAGCTCAAACATATTTAAAATTTGAAGATCCTACAAATCATACATCAATGTCTCAGATGTCTCTTGCCAGTAGATGTATCAACATATTAGATATAAAGAACGTCACATTTCTGCATAATAATATTCTACCTCAAAACCACGAGTGTCTTTATGAGCTGTTGCTAGAACGCAAAAAACAACGCCAAAGATAACGTGTTGCATGTTATTTAAGATTTCTATAAGATAACATGTGTTGTATGTTCTTTAACACTTCAATAAGATGACATGTGTTGTATGTTCTTGAACACTTCAATAAGATGACATGTGTTGTATGCTCGTTAAAACACTATAGGATGGAATGCGTTATATGCTCTTTAAGACTTCTAAAAGATGACAAGCGTTGAATGTTCTTTAAGACTTCTAAAAGATGACAAGCGTTGAATGTTCTTTAAGACTTCTATAAAATGACATGTGTTGTCTGCTCTTTAAGACTTCAAATTGAGCACTAATTATAATTGTGCTCATAATCCTTATGGCGAATAGGGATGAACTGACCATGTGTTGTGTCCAATCTGCTCCAATCTTTAAAATGTTTATAATAATTGAATAGATGCTTAAATTGATCTTAAACCACTAGCTATTAAAATAATGACAATATCTAACATAATTCTTGCAAGTTGAATGCGGTAGTTCAGTACGGACATCCATTCCTGAATCTGACAAGGAAAATAGTGACAATTAAAAAATAAAATATTGTCATAAGGGACTTGCAGAAGAAATTCTATCGGGTGGTCACGACAAACGATTTTTTTGCTCTCCAGATCATAGCTGTTGTGTGTAAGTAAACATTGTTGACATTATGATGGAAAAGAAAAGCTTAATCAGATCAGCTGCAATCTAACAGGCTACCTAACTGGACACGGGTTTTTAAGAGCATGTTGAGCGAAACGTTTGGAAAATGTAATTTATTTATATAATGTACTCTGTACTTCAAGATGCAATATCTAAAGTTTTTTAAAAAAAAGGTCAATTTGTAACTGCTTTTCTTGACTTTAATTTTGTAAACATTTGTATTTGCTGTTACGTTTAATCCTTGTTGTGTTATTAATGACCTTGCCTAAATACTAGCAGCATTCTATTTATATATATTACACGCCAGCAAAGTACAAACACCCGACCACCACGCATTCTACATATAGATACTCCAGAGTGTTGTTCAATAATGAGTTCACTAGCGCGCAAAATATAATTCCCGATATCTAGGCTCTATGATATTTATCTATTAATAACGCCATAGCGTTTGGTGCGTACTATTTTTTTTTTCGGAAATGAACTCTCTCAATTTAAGAATTGTGTACACAATATTCGGTTTCTAAAGTGGTCTGGACATGAGAACATTAATATAGTTCATGAGCGTGAAATAAAGAGTGTGCAGTGAAGTATGATGGGGGAAGGGGGTGTGGCAAGTATTTTGATTCTTAAATGTGCGCAACTTGATTTCCTGTATTGTCAGTTAACACTAATAGATGGGAAGTTTACGCATTGCTTTCGCCAATGTTTGGAGGGCTATATCTAGTTCTATATAATGCTTAAAGATTCAATTTAGCTAGTAAAATATGTTGGCTTTATTCATATTGCTTAGGCATTCTATAGAATGCATGAATTTCACACTTCGCCTTAACATAAGCAACATAAACATTTTAATAAACTCGTTTGAATTGTTTCCCTTTCTTAACACACATATATATATATATATAAGAAATATTTCCAAAAAAGTAACAATAAATTAAAAATAATATCTCAACAGAATGTATTTTGAACCAAGGCATTAGTTTTACTCCACTCAAGCAAAAGGATTTCATAACTAAGTGCACAAATGGAGTGTTGAAAAGTGATTTATTTTTTATTGAAAGCAAAATTAATTTTACTGGCATTAATGTCAATAACAATTTAGTATTCGCTTCATTTGAAATATTTGAGAATACATCACAGGACACAATTAATGTAAGTATCAATATTAATTATATACTTTATCCTTTAATTTACCAAAACGTTTGAAATTTGATAACTATTTTCTTTTATGTTTGTAAAGAAAAAAAACCACATTGTTAACCACTGTACTGCTAAGCAAATTCCTTCAAAAGCAATTTAAATGTATAAATGTGCATGCTTCACTCATTTTGAAAGAATTTACAAGCTTTAGACAGTGTTTAAACATTACTAAAACATGATTTGCCTAAATGAACATGAACCAAATCACAATTATATATTTTTAATGTGATACAAATATTTAATTGAAAGTTGTCGAAAGTTTAAAATACAATTAGCTATAGCTTTATTTTTGGTTATTTTTATAAAGAAATGAAACTACTTTAAAATCATCTCAATTGTTATAATTTAGTCACTAAAACGTTGCAAATGAATCTAGACGTTAGTTTAATCTTTACATGGAAATTGACCAAGTAAAATTTATTTCACAATCTTACACATGCATAAAGAAGGTGTTTGACCAAATAGCACTTATAGGCTATCCGATACCATAAATGTACATTTACCGAACTTAGTTAGCATCTTTACATAATCAAAAGAGTCTATGCAGGAACAATCTGTTTCTATTTACGTTTAAAATGACACTCTCTACGGCAAATAAAAAAGAAAAGTAACTATAAAAAAATCATTCAAATGATTGAATCCGAACATATCCAATAAACTTGACGGATTTGAAATGATAAGTAGTGTTTTTTTGTTTTTTTTTTAAATCTCATTCTTTCAGTTGTTCGACCATGACCTGAAAGTGCCTTGTGAGAATGCTGTAAACGATACCTACCACTGCAAGACAATCGAACAAAATGTTGTTCTATTTTCATTAAAGTTTTATGCCTTTCCAAAGTACATCGGAGCAAATATTATTGGTAAATTAGTGAACAACTCAAAGACAATCAGTCAAGGAACCCAGGATTTTCCAGCAATAGTCGGTAAATATGTCGGTTTATAATAATTATGGTGTGGGTAATTTAGACGTTATAACGGTTCACCGCAATTCTTGCTTCATACTTTTCTTGAGATGGTTGACACTTTGCTAATGCCACACATTATGGCAGACAATTAAATACAAACATTACTTAACATATATTAAAAAAAAAAAATAATAAATTCTACATATCGTTTGCTGTGCTTAGCAATTTAATTATTTTCTTTTCGAAATGTCGGGCAACACTTTGCTCAATGGGTCTCAGTCGAATAACGTTTAGCATCACGTTTCCTTTTTGTTGGTCTACATTTGATAATGTAGGTTTTGGTTTCTAATTATAGATGTATTAGGCCCATGTAGTCTTTTTATCGTTTGCTCCTTGTTTAGTCTTGTCACTTGAAGAAGGCATCGCGCCGAAACGTTCCTTTAATTTTCACGTATTGCTATATAAAGCCCAGACATATTTTTTCTACTGTTTCCTTTACTCCTCTTAAACGGTGTCTATATTTCATGGATCTAACCTATTGCTGCAATCAATACACATTGTCAGTTAACAAGAAACATATTATCTTTATTTATATTATCCGTTTTCTTTCTCATTTTTTTGGTGGGGTTTACATCTTTAAATTTCATATTGAACACTTCTTATCAATTGTTCCAGGCTGAAAAAAATGTTTAAAAAATGTTAAAAAATGGGTAGGCAGTGCCTAAGGCACACTTGCCATTTTCTTTTACCAGATTTACAGCAGATTCTTATTTATAAATAAAGAAAAACAAATCAATGTACAGAAGATAAAGAAGTTAAAGAAGAAAATAAATAATATATAGTGGAAAACTCTCAACACCACGTGTTCACCTTAAGACTTACGGAAAGCGCACTTCCGCATTTGCTGGCCCAACAATTTGGAATGCACTCCCTGACGCTCTCAGAAACGACCAGACACTGGAGTCCTTTTAAACCGATTTAAAGACACATCTATTTCGCAAACACCTTTTGGGATGATGTTGTCTTCAAAATTTTCTAGTTAATGCATATTGGCTACGTTGGTTCTGGTTGAAATGGGTAGAAAGACTTTGACATTGAATGCTTGTAATTAGTTTTTGTAGTGTTGAGTTTGTTTTAAATGTGGTAAATTATAGATGTGGTTGACTTTGTACCGCGCTTCGAGCCTTTGGGGATGAAACGTGTCTTTCAAATGAACTTTATTATTAATGTTATATATATATATATATATATAGGCAAAGATTTAGTGTTGATAGATTGAAAGAAATCAAAACTTTACGGTTGTCAAATACACTTTCTTTATTTCTTACGCTTTGGCATATTCCTTGTAACCATTCCGTTAGCAACAACTAAAGTGTGTAAACGCATTTGTAAACTTTAAAGAAAAACTCATAGTGAATTGCACAAATTAGTAAAATGTAGGTTAAATGCGGGATATCCTGCGTAATCTCTCTTAAACTTTCTTTTAGGAAATGGGTTGTAAGTTTTAAAGAGCGTAGCAATGAGCGTATCAAAAAAAAAATGATAATATTATTATTATTCAAAGTAATGATACTGTGTAAAATAAAAAAACAGCAAAGTGCGTATTCCAACTGAAGAAAATCCCTGTTTTCAAATACAAATATTATTTGAGTCGCACATTTTATTTTGAATCTCGTATACTTTGTTGTTCAACGTTTTGAAACGTGTGTCTTGAGCTTAAATAAAATTGCGACAAACAGCCACGATCTTTGTGTGACTTACGTCATAACTAAATTGTTTTTTACTGTTAATTTAACACCCCCCACCCCCCCAAAAAAAAATAAAATATTTTTTCACTCACAGAAAAGACGAACGTCACCGGTAAATTGACGGTGAATGGAAAGATATGCCCAGCTAAAGATTTTAAAATGAATATTACTGCCAAGGTTTTAAGTGTTCAGTTTGAATGTTCAAGTCTTTCAAAACCCTGTCAGATAGAAATGATGATAAATCGGTTCAAGCCCATCAAAGGATCTGATGTTGTTAAATTCGAACAGACTGTAATACAAAATGGAAGCGTGTATTCACTCCATATTAAATACGCTGCATGCAGACTTGATCAGGAATACAAAGAAGTCAACCTCGTGATTACTGCTGGTAAGTGAATGATTTTTAAAAAAAATACAGAAACGCTTTGTTTAAACAAATTGATTGAAAACAACATTTGAGAAACAAAATAGATAACCCACCCTAGATAGACTAAACATTCACTTGTTTTTTTCACCCATATGAAATCCATTTATGGTATTATATAAGTATAAGAAGCAAACAAAAAAAAATAAAATAATAATAACAAAACCCCAAGCAACATGTTTTAAAGGAAATAAAATAAATTCATTTGTATAATGTACACATTATAGTGCTTGTAGATGAAAACAACGAATCTTTGGGTAGTGAACGATGTGGCCATAGTTATGTTTTTTGTTCTTTATTTAATGTTAATTTTGTTTATCTCTTTTCTTTTTTTTTCGCTTCAATAGTTTTATCTTATATATATTAATATAGTTAGCCGAAACAATCATTTAAGGCTCTTTATAAAAATTTACATTTTTAAATTTGATTAGATCCAGAATTCCTCTCACTTGACTTAACCCCATGGATAATTGGAGCTTTTATGTTTTGTTTGATTGTCATTCTTTTCCAAGCCTTTGTTTATTACTTTTATTGTAACCGAAGGTAAGATTTTTTCTTCATGTTGTCCCATGTTAATTAAACATATACTGTCATGCATTATGGTAATAAGGCTTATGGTAGCAATAAAAGCTTGTTGAAGAACATTTAAATTTACAACAAAAAATAGTGTATTTTCAAATAAAATAAAATACACAAAATCGTCTTTCAATAATTAAACTATGGGATCATGTTCAATTTGTATTAGGAATAAAACGGTTCTTTTTTTCTTATCTATTTAAAGACCGACATATTTGTTCATATTAAATGTAATACTTCAAATGCATATTTGTATCTGCTGATTTCCCCAAACGAGTACAATAATTTTGTCTTCTTTTCAAAAGATTGGTGATTCAAAAGAGTGATGCAGCAGGTTTGTGATTCATTGATTTCTTTAAACATCATATAAACAGTTAATTATCTAATGCAACTATAAGATGTAAACTGACTTACAAAAAATATATATCTTTAATAAAAATATTTAATTCTGATAATATCACCTTAAAAAAAAATTATGATTGTAAAATAACCTTTGAAATAAATTAGTCACATTAGACATTAAACTAGTTGTTGTCTAATAATGTTACATGACTATAATCGTTCTAAGTAATTATTTAACTATTTAAATTTTAGTAATGGTCTTGGATTGGCATAAAAGTGTCCCTATCAAATGTTATGTTGAACTATGAAACAGTTGTTGATTAGACACTAAACGTTTCTACATTATCTATAATGTTGACATATTGCCTTTATAAACATCACAATTGTTTTTATTAGCTTCTTATATGCAAGTGATTTGAGAAACGTCCGACACAATTAAATCTTTCAGTCAACCGACTCCCAAAGTGTCCATGGAGCGAATCAACGCCAATCATTTTATATAGTATATTCCATCGCTGTGAATAAAGTGTACTTAGTTTGAAACATTTCTTGACCAGCAATAAGTTCAATTTAAAAAATGATGAAATCAATTGAAGAGAAAAGGGTCTTGAAGTTGTCTACCATTTTGTTGTCACTTTTGAATACAGACATCACATGTTCCTTTAGAGTTTATCTTAATGGCAAATCTGCTTCAGCAATCCCAGAAAAAAGCCATTTTTTGGATCATCAATAAAGTCAGATTTTCTACCTCAAGCCAATGCACGCTCATCAAAAAAACAAAAGAAATCCAAAATTCATTCTAAATGCGCCTAAAGACACGACTTTATACAGTTCAACTTCCGTTTAGACGTGTTCATATGAACTCGTTATCTACATGTCACCAGAGGGTAAACACTGCGATAGGGTTGTACAAAAACAGGTTTAGTACGCAATAGCCATCAATAGAGGAGAGAGAATATTCAAACATATAAAACATCCACCTTGTGGGGCACGAACATGATTAAATTGTTATTTGTAATGAAGAGTTTGATAATGTTAATTTGCATGTCTTTATTTATTTAAAGTAAACTATTGATTTTACTTCTTTACCGTTAATGGTAAACACAGAATTTGTTATTTAATTTTTTTAAAAGCGAATTTAATTAAATCCTATGTAGATTTATTACTACGTGACTTACCTGATTCAAATGACGAAAATAAGAGAAACGGAAATATAACTGAAGGTAATGTAATGATTAATATATTGTATTGAAAAATTTTTAATTTTAAAACTAGTAAAAAAAAAAAAGCAACGATTTAAAAAAAATTGCAACCAACAATAAAAATACAGTTTAATGAATAAAATGTAAACCTCTAAAGTAAAGACATAACAATTATTACACTATGTCCTGCCCCCAACCTCATTAGGCACTCCAACTCAAATTTTCAAATACGTCTGACATACAAAAAGAGCAAATCATTTGAAAGAACTGGCTCTAAGCTTTCCAATGACACCAAGATAATCTTTCTATCATTTATAGGAGAAAAGTTATGTTTTTTTAAGTGATTTATTTTCCCCACTATTCGGCTTTGTATTTAATTGTTAAGCCTGTGATCACATTAGTACTCTTTTTGTACTATTTTGCTTGTATCTCATGAAAACAGAGTGGGGAAGGAGTTTGAAAAAGTTTAAACCAAACATAATTCATACATTCACTGGTATATTGCACTTATCTCCTACTGACAATACACATTTATAAAGCGTGTTAGCTTTATTCGGGTTTTTTTTTTTTTGAGTTCATGGAAAATATTAAAATTTCTGTTCCAAATTGTAATTAACAAATAGTCTATGTCTCCGATAATAAATTAAGAAGTCAACCTCTCCTTGACAGTTGTTGATTTCAGGCCACATGACCCAACTGTCACCGAAAGGCATAGACAAAACTACGTAACACTCATTGGCTTTATCCAATATAAAGTTAGAAAAAAAATAGCATTTCAGAGCTTAACAGTTAAACAAATTCAGATGCATATGTTTATTGGGGATATATGCTTTATATACAGATCATTAGATATCTTAAAATTTAAATATAAAATGAAACTGCAGGAAACAAAAATAATTTTAAACTACCATCAATAAAGTGTTCATTGTGCTTCCTAATTTTTTGAGCTAAATAACAAAAAAAAAAAAAATTAAAAAAAAATATTAAAAAAAATAAAGTAGCTTCATAACAAAAACATACTTAGGTTTATAAATTTTTTATTTGTTTAAAACTGATTTATTCTTCCCAGGTTCACATGCTAACCAAGAAGATGAAATGAAATCATTTTTACATAAATTATGTGCTTCCTAATTTTTTGAGCTAAATAACAAAAAAAAAAAAAATTAAAAAAAAATATTAAAAAAAATAAAGTAGCTTCATAACAAAAACATACTGAGGTTTATAAATTTTTTATTTGTTTAAAACTGATTTATTCTTCCCAGGGTCACATGCTAACCAAGAAGATGAAATGAAATCATTTTTACATAAATTTTATACCAGTTGTAAGAAGAATGCAAGTCACGAGGAGTTTATGCGTCTTCAAGATTTGACCGTCGACGAAGTGCCAAAGCATGATATAAATATCGTTAACTTTATAAAGTTAACCGCTAAACTGACTGTAAGGTTGTCTGTTAAAGTTAATAGCCCAGCAAGACCAAAGGAGTGGCTCAACCGCCATGAACCAGTACCCCAGAGTGCTCCAACCCTTCCAAGAATAGGAACTGGGTTTGTGACAAATGTGCAAATGTATCAAAATAAAATTGGCGGCGACTACAACATTGGACCTTGTCAGTGTGAAAGATGCAACGATTCGAAGAATTCACGCAGCTGTGATTGGGGAATTATAAGCCTCACCACAGCCAAATATGTGGTCTTCGATAACAGTGAGGCTGAAGAAACGTTGTGTAGATATTTTTATGATAACAAAAAATGTCCCCTTAAGATTTTAGAGGGATGGGAGTTTGAGAGCAGCAGCATGGTAGAGGACAGGAGTATTTTACAAATTAAAACGTGTGATCAATTTATACTAAATTTTTTTAAGGACGCATTGTCAAGCTGGTCTCGTGATAAGAATGAGATTGACAGAAAATATTCAAGTCACAGACCTGACAAAAGATTTACCTTCATAGTATCACACCCCCACGGTTGTCCCAAGTATGTTTCTCTAGGAGAATGTATAAATAGAACAGTTTTACCAAGTAATAGAATGCATACCTCGTACACGTACACAACAAGTACATGTACTGGGTGTACAGGTGCATACGTCCATATACTTGGAGTTAATGTTGATATTACTCGTGGATGTCATATTCACCTTGGAACCAACGATTCAGGAAATAACTATTGTAGCATCGGTCATGAAATGAAGCCTAGCAATGACGATACGACTGATGGGAACGATTAATTTTTTTTTTTTATGTCTACAAAATTTACCACTGTTGAATGTTTTAGCTTTGTTAAAGTTATTAGAAATATTCTCATTTGAATGTATATTGCACATCTAAAATTATTTCTACCAGTACTTTTTAAACTATTGGAATCATTCTATGTCTTTGAATTGTTTTCACACAGATTAGACTTTATTCGTCAGTCAAATTAAAAAAAAAATGTTCGCCCATGATGGAAGGATAATTTAAACACTTTTTACAGCGTTGTTAGTATAAATGAAGTGAAAAAAGTGCATCTAGGATAAGATTAAATAAAGCTTATGATCATGTTGGAAACACAAATTCATATACTGAGAACCATTGAAGATTGTGTGCGTAAGAAAACTCTACGCTTAGCAGAATTCAGTGATTGTATAAAGTTACTTAAGATATTAGTATCACTCTCAAGGGATGAGTGTCGAGAAGGCAAATATGTAATTTAATGCTTTTCATGTATCTAAAGCAGTTGATTTTTTAAGCTAGAAACATGGAGATATGAATTGATAACGGAAGTTTAACATTGGCTTAAAATTAATACATGGTCTTTTCCGTACCTGTCTAGCGCGATCTTATTGTTAGTACCTGCTTTAGGAAGAGCGAGGAAATCTTCAAAATCCTTTACAGTATCGGAACTGTTTGGCATATGGTTGCGGGACGTAGCCTCCACTCTGCATTATCAACCCAGTTCTTTAACATACAGAAACATGTACATAATTAGAAACACCTATCATTGAAATGTTTAACACTTCAGACGCTTCAAACGTCTTACAAAGTAACTGGCATTTTATGTTTTTAGAGGGTTACTATCATGGGCGCCCGCTGAAAACTTTCTAGGGGGGGGGGGGCAACATTTTTTTAGTAATGTTTTAATATAGTTTTATTTTTTTTTTTTTTTTTTTTTTTTTTTTTTTTTTTTTTTTTTTTTTTTTTTTTTTTTTTTTTTTTTTTTTTTTTTCCGCGGGGGGGGGGGGGGGGGGGGGGGGATTGCCCCACCTTGCCCCTACCTGCGCGCGCCCCGGGTTACTATTTTTAAGGCTAAATTGAAAATAATAACAGAATGGAATTATTTTTTAAGATGAATTTAATATAAATATGATTTGAGTAAATGGATTCAATACTTGAACATGATTATATTTTTTTACAGCTCTTGGGATTGATTGAATGTCGTCTTGACAGACATGTAGATAAATTAGCTGACAGTTTATGAATAGATGGAGCCATACAAAAAACGAATATTTATTTCTAAGACCTTTGTTTTATATTTTCACCAAGTTAAACGTACCAGGGAATTACTAGAGATGCTGATCAGAATTTCAGCAATAATTGAGAAATGCGTCTATTTAAAAATGTTAGGCATGACTAAGTGATTAAATATATGATGCAAAATGGTAACACTTTCTAGTTCGGTAACTTATTTCAGAGTACAAGACCCACAGGCACAACCATTTTTTTGTTTTACATATGTGTACAGCTCAAATTGTTGTATTATGCAATGATAATTTTGGAAAAAATAGGGCACACATCATTTTGTTATATTACAATAATATGTTTATGTATTTCCTCTGGCAAATAGATATTCTATTGTCTGTTTTAAGACAACTATTTTCTATTCCACTATCCTAAATACTGCTCATTAAATGACATGATTACATTAACTATCAATATTTATAGCATTAATATACAAGTAACGTAAATATTTGGATGGATTTCTAACTGCCACTGATGCATAACTTTTTGTCTTTATTAAATGGCATAATGCATTAACTATCAATGTGTGTTTTCATAATATACAAGTACGGTGAATGTACTTATGAATTTCAAACTGCAAATGGTATACAAATTTTACACAAGCATTCATATACTGAGAACCAATGAAGATTGTGTGCTTACCAAAAGTTTACGCTTAACAGAATTCAGTGATTGTATAATTCTACTAAAGATGTTAGTATCACTCTAAAGAGATGAGTGTCGAGATGGTAAATATGTAATATAATTCTATTCATGTATCTAAAACAGTTTAAATTTTAATACAGTCGCATGAAGATATGAGCTGGTAACCCTGGTTTAATATGGGTGAAGGCTTAATACATTAATTGTTTCGTACCTGTCTAGAGCGATCTTATAGCTAGTAGGTAATATAAGCAGAATGCGGACAATTTTACAATCCTACACAGCATCGACACTTGTTAATAACATGTGTCTACTTGACGTATCATCGTCACCTTAGCGTCATCAAACTATTTCTCTCACATAGAGCGCCTTGTAAGGCATTGAATACATGCAACTTTTAAATTTAAACCCTTTAAACGCTTTGATTACATGGTACAAGAATGGTAAAAGGCATTAAATCTTAATAATATCCTTTTTAAAAATGTGTTATGTGTTCATGTCTTACAATTAATTGCAATGAATTTTTTTACTGATTGAATTATTAATGCTTGATTAAAAATAAGACTATTGTTGGATTGTTTTTTTTAAGAAGAATTTAATATAAATGTAATTGTGTCATCTGGATTTAACATAGAAACATGACATTGTTTTTTTTTTACAGCTCTTGGAATTGATTGAATGTCGTCTTGTTACATTAGTCAAAATAAGCTGCCAGTTTATTAATGAATGAATATATACCAAAAATTTTAATTTGATAAAAAGAAAAATGTTTTTTTTTATTTTTAATAAGAATAAACCTATCAGTGAGTTAGCCTAGATGCTGATAATAACTTCAGCAAGATATCGTGAAATGTGTCAAGTAAAAAAAAAAAAATGTATGGCCTGATTTAGTAATTAAGTAAATGACGCAAAATGGTAACAACTTCCAAATTTGGTAAATCATTTTAGGGGTTAATGGTTTTAAGGAGTGTCTTTACTCCCTGCTATGCAATCTGGATATCTTCCATGACGGTGCAGGCTGTGCTTATCATTTTTGTCTTCAGAAGGAACTCTCTACCTTCACCAAAGACTGAATAGAATTGTTTATTTAGTATCACCCTTGCTTTTGGTTCTGACGTCAAATAGCTGTCCTATCTCAGGGGGAAAAAGCCAGTGTTTGATGAATTTTGGATGCCATACGTAGCTCCAGAAGCGCTTATTCTTGACTCCCTTGGCCGGAGTATCTTCGTCTGAGAAGTTGCCTTTCAGGTAAGTTCCAGTAAGATCTGCTGAGTAAGCACTGGACGTTCTTAGGAGCCTCAGTGCTTCGGCTTTCAGTTTGACCGAGCCATTATTCTTCATTCTTTTGTACTGGCGGTTTCTTCTGTGTATGAATCTATTGATTTCAGTCACGACCAATTGCTGATTTGTCTTAGCTTAAGCGGTCTTTTGTGGCAAGTATTTCTTCACTGCTTCAGTGGTTTTTGTCTTGAACTTCATACCCAGCTGTGCTGTTTTGGCATTGCCCTGATTCTCATGCATTTTAGAGCTCAGCCCTGTCGTTGCACTTCTCTAGCTATCCCAATCTGCCTTGGCATAAATAGGGTGTTCTCGCACAGCCTGCTTCTTTTTTAGGGACCTGACCTGAAATTTGCAAAATGGTATGCAGTGGACTGATATCCCGGGGATGACCTAAACTCTTGGGATGGGATGTGGACAGTTGGTGAGGAGTAGTCAAGAGTTTTTTACCCTCGCGTGGGTTTTTTAACCAGCTGTTCCAGACTTGTTTGTTACTCATCATCATAAAGTCAGAGTGTCGGACCGGGTATGGGGACTTGGGCTTCAAGGGAGGAATATGCAAGTTTCAACCAGGTAAGTTGAATTCTCCCCCTATAATGAGAAATGCGTTCTTGGATTGAATTGCTCTCTATAGTGACAGACTCTTCAAGCTTGGCTCATCTGATGTGTTGTGTCTCGAATAGTCACAAACGCAAAGTGTGCGTCTACACATCAGCTTCACCTTCACCCACAGGAGTATTGCAGTCAAACACTTTTATAATCAATGTTTAAGAACAACAACAACAAAGAAACGTATTCTTATAAACTTCATTTAATTAGGGATTCAGATTTAAAACGTTATGTTTTCTCTTTTGTTTGTATATATCAATATGGAAAGAAAACACACAAACATTTTAACGACTAAATAATACGACAGAAACAGCTTCAGATTTTATCGATGAAAAAATGTTAAAAGGTGATTGATTAGTTTGTTGAATGTATTCACAAGGACCACGCACGTCTCTATGCTACCCGTGATGGCGCACTAATTATAGCAGACCTCTACCAATGTGCCGAACATTAGAAAACAAATAGTGACGCTAAATTACAAAATTATCTTCTTCTAATTGTCTGTTGTCAAATCAGTATGTACAGCTTAAATGTCATGTTCAAGGGGGCATGACACAAAAGGGGTGGGGGGACTTAGAACGTTTCTAATTCAATTTTATTTTTATATTAAGAAAAGCAGGGCCTGTTTAAGTTCTCGGGAGCCGACTTGGCAGTCGAATATTTGTCCACTCACCTCGAACAATTATATCTTAATCTTAAATCTGCCTTTGCGTTGCTAGAGTTGCTCCCGTTTAAAAATTATCGGCATTGTGCAATAAATACCACGTCCAAAAATATCACAAACCAGTGTCACCAGAATAGGACGACCGCCTCCACAGCTTGTCTGTCGGTAAGTAATTAAACGTCCGGCTGAAAACATGATGTTTGAAATCTCCTTTAATATACTGACTCAGAAATGTTAACGCCCCCCCCCCCCACCATTTTTTGGGGTCATTTCTTTGATGATTAATTATAATTAGATATCATTGCACATTGTATTATCTTTATTTATTTGTCGTCAAAAAACATCTGTATTTCTAAAGTGAAACCCTACCTTGGATAATTTGCGCCTGAAGACCATTTTACGACCTGTTTTGTTTCCAGGGCCGCCGAATCGGTACTGAAACCCCAACGGCTGCAGGCTACATCTAATATTTAGGAGTACAAAAAGGTGTGACATTAAAAAAAAATGATGCTGATATCAAATGGAAAAAGTGTCAGCCGCCCTTCGAAACTCACCTGATTAATCTTTATATCTTTAAATTTAAGAAATGTTTATTGAAACGCATAATTTAAATAAGTCTACTTTCAAACTGCACGTCACGTTTTTCTGTGTATAGTTCCTAAACTTAAAGTGTTTATCTTAAAATAGTTTATATTTCGTTTATTGCGATATTATGCAAACATTCCACTAGCAAAAGAAAAAGTTTTAAATTGAAGTTTTTGGTGTCAACTTGATTTCATTTTACAGTTTAAGCACATGTCTAGTGTGCCTTTAGATTAATCTGGCATAGATAATGAATATGGAAGTGTAAAGAATTAATGCATTTAAATGAAACATCAAGAAAATATGCTGATGCCTAATTTAAAATAAAATAATAGAATCCCGACATACTTTAATTGTACGTTTTGTTTTAAATTATAAAGAGAAGTTTGCAAATATATTTGGACAAACTGAATTGTATGATTAATTTTATTTATATTGGTATTGCTGTATATTTATTGCAACCTTCGTTTCTCATAAAAATTTTTGTAACTGTCAATTCAATGGGAGAAGACACGACATCTAGCGGACCCGATGCAAACCAGTAACTCATTAGTGTAATTACTTGTTAAATGATCTGAAACCGAAGGCTTTTCAAAAGACGTTCAGTATCCTTCATACGGGGTTTATTTTATATTTTTCACAATTGAAATGAAAATATATATGTAAGTATTCTTAATTACGAAATGTATTTCTTGCAAAAGGAGCATGAGGGACGCCAATAATGAAAACAACGAACGATAGCACATTACCGAACAACGTTCCATCTGGCGAACAGCAGTGTATGAAGGTGTCAAAAAGGCAGAAGATGTACAAAAT